AGATCGCTTGGGAGCTGTCGAACTGCGGAATCAGAGGCAAAGCAACCGGAGGAAGAGGAAAATGGGAGGAGAGGAAAGGATCAGGGTCCTGCAGAAGGCCCTGCTGCACCTGCCAGACATGCTGGTGGGTTGACTGCAGTGACATGGTGGCGTTCTGTCGACACCAAGCTGACCTTTGTTGGGTTTGTGCCAAGTGTGCAGACAGGAAGCCATGCAGAAGCCATGTTAAGCTCACTGCCAGCACGGTTTGTACCAAGCCAAACAGGGTGACAAACCAGAATTGCTGAATTGGGCACCAAATTTGTCTTTCATTGACTTTGCAGGAAAGCAATGCCAAATGCAGCAAAGTGCGGTAATGTCAGTGTGTCAGTGTGTCTGAGTGGATTCCAACATTACCACAGGGCAGCCACCAACAATTGGTGGGAGCGAGGCAGCAGTCTTGAGTTTTGTGTTGATTGGACAGTGTGTATGCCCTTGGTGTGCAGTTAGGTGTAGCATGGTATGTTGGGTCCTCCTTTGTTCTATTCAGTTGCATTCTATTGCTACAACTACTATTGCATTGCCTTTCTTTCTTATGCAAATGCCATTTGCGACCTGTGCATTTGTATTGCGTCAAGGACTTTGGTGCTCTGTGCCATTTTTCTGGTGGGCCAAACCATACCTCGAGCATGAGCGCTAAAGTACGTTGGCATCTGCAGGGGTTCTCTTTCATCTTCATGCCTAGGACGCATGGCAGCTTCTGGCCACCACCAAAGGGCCTACTTGTTCGGATGACAGCGGTTGGTGATCTTGCTGTTAATTTCTGCGGGGACCGCAGGCGGGGTGGCAGTTGCACAGGTGTGCACAGGGCGAGCACCCCATCACAGGTGGCATCGCTGTGGCTGTCTCATTGCTATGGGCCACAAGCTGAGAGGGGAACTGAAATCGAAGAGGTAGGTATGTCTTCTCCTCTGGTAGCTGTCAGTGATTGTTGTTGCATTCTGTGATGTTTGGGAGGTAGGTATGTCTTCTCCTCTGGTAGCTGTCAGTGATTGTTGTTGCATTCTGTGATGTTTGGGTGGAAAGAATTATCAGCATTTCAGTGCGCGAGCAGTTCCTGCCAGGCTGGAAAACTAGCCTTAGTGGTGTGCTTTAGTTTGCTTGGACTTGGTTCCATTTCCCTCATTTTCTGAGCATCCTTTGCGGATCATTCGAACTACAGATCAACAAACCTAGTAAGCAATCATGTCCTTCCTACAATAAATTGATGTTATGGTACAACGGACAGTAATATACGGGAGTGTTGTACACAACACCAAAAAGGACAATGCAGCATAGCATGGTAAAGAACGGTCCACCCCAGTCCAGCGTAATAGTGTACTCATGGGCCCAGTGTGCACCACGGCTACGCTGCTGTGATGAGGAAATGGCAAACGCTTGGTTTGCTGCATACCAAGGTGGTCGCAATTAGACCACTGTATTTGCCGCATTCAATCTCTACTTGACATTGCCTTCAACCTGCCGCGACGCTGGATGGTCCCAAGTATGCCCTCCCTTTGTGGGTTGGGACTTGATCCCACAAACCACACTAGAACCCACAGTGGAGGCCATACCAGTTGGAAGTCCCCTGTGCAGCACAGAGGTGGATAACAATGGCATCAATAGGCGACTATATGTGGCCAGGTCGGGGGAGTTCCATTCATACTGCCTTGTACTGTACGCGCATGGCAAAAGGAAACCTTGCAGCAATGTGTGTCTGACTTTGCAAACATTGCTCAAGCCTGAGATTGCTGCCTGGAGTCTATGTGCTTGCCCAATGGCCAGATTCATGTATGCTTCATTGTGCTGCTGTGTCAGTCCACGTGCCATTGATCGTGGCGCTGCAGAATTCCTGTAATGCCTCACTGCAGCTGGGGGCATCGACTCGATAATCTGCAGGTCACCACGTGGCCAATGTGTCCATCATTGCTGAGGCCGGCTCCATCACAGTTATGTGCGCTGCACATGCTTTGAGCCCTCCTGCTTCCCTGGGCGATGTCCCATCGCTGCCCTGCATGAATACGAACTGAGGTGCCGGTGCACATGCATATGATGGCTTTCAATGACCTGCTGTGTGGTGTCAGCAGTTGGAACCGTATGGAAGCAAGAGGATGAGCACTGAGAAAACTCTGAACTTCCTCGAGGAAGTTACGGCAGCAACAGAGCACCCATTGGAGTGAGTAGTAGCTGTGCGTGTTTAGAACCCTGCCCACAAATCCAGGGTGGTGCCAGGTGGTGGTTGCGATTTCCACATCAGTTCAGTTGCTTTCAACAGAGAGCCTGCAGGATTGGCGGTGCTCTTTTTTCAATCAATTCAGTTGCGATGCTGCCTAGCAACTGAGCTAGCAGGTTCCATCTCCCCACCTTGCCGTGCTTGCATGGACATTTTTTTACGCAAGATGATGCGCTTTGAACACTGATTCAATTGTCATACACTCGACTGGCCAAGAGGATAATCTGAAAATTGGGACCCACAGTCAAGTCGCGGTGAGCCCCTTGGCAGATGTCACAATGCATCGGCACATTTCTGAGATTCAACTCCCGGAAGGTTCTTAGAGGGAAGGAGCATACTATGTCAAACAAACATGCTTGAACGAACTCCATAGTTGACATCATTGCCACCAGCACCTCACGATATAGGGGGTACAGGTTTGTCGAACATTGGCAGTTGCCATCGAATGGTGGGCAGATATATGCATAATGCAGGAAGTGCAAAGTGCTTGCAGCCGGCTTTGCGGGTGCTTACAGCACTTTTTTCCCATGTACATTCAGAACCCGTATTGTTGAACATTCGCAGCACATTTTTTCCAAGAACAACTAGGTTTTACTTTGCTTTGTGCCCTTGTTTTCCAAGCGCAGACAATAACCCTGAACTCTGAAGATCCCCGAAACAGTAAAAATGAACATGAAACCAATAAGTGGGTTGTAAACACCCTCAAAACAAACTGCAAACGCCGAACAGTGGGATTTTTGAGAGATGGGCTGCAAACGCGCCCACCCGTGGATCTGTAGATAGGTATGGACAGTGGGTTGAAAATAGACAAAAAGAGACTGCCAAAACATCAGGATCGAATGGGGATGAACCGAGAGATTTCTTAGCATGCAGTACTCTTGCTGGAGCAGCTGCTGGAACGCTTGGGGCGGTCACGCCCGCTTTTTGCTCTCTCATGGCATAGATCACAGCGTTGCCACCACTTTTCAGGACACCCGTTTACTTTACGTTTGTCCCTGCACTTGGGCCTGCATGTCGTTTGCCTCGGGACACACATGATTTTGCTGTAATAGCCCATCTGCTCGAGTTTCCGATGGCTGGTGGGAAAAATAAACGTAGAAGAAAAGGAACACGCATGCCCCGGAAGTGACATGGAATGGCACGCCCTCAAGCCCACTGACAGTGTCTCTGTACAAGAAACACTGACAACAGTAGTGATTATCTGTGAGAGCTCAACAGTAGCGATGTCTGCGGTGGACCAAATAATGCACTAATGCCAGTAACTCCGCTGCGCAGAGTGTTGCTTCAGAGTATGGTGCCAAGTGCCTTGATGTAATTGGGAATTGCGTTGTTTGTTTGGCATGGACATGCTGGCGTGCCCTCCCGGAACCCCAGACACCGCTGTTTATGATTGTGATAAATGGATGCAGGAGCGACAGATCCACAGGGATTGCTTCGGAACACTTGGATCCACCCAACCCGACGACTTCAGAGCGTTTGGATCAACTCATCCCGCAATTTCTAAGCGCGCAGTGCTCGGGGGGCGCCGTCCACCTCTGGGGCGTCCACAATCAGATATTGAGACAGGCTGTGGCACAGAGCAGCGGCAACACTGGGGCAGGCGAAATGTCGACTCTGCCAGAAAAGTCGTCAGTGGCTGAATTGGCTCGCAGGATTTTCTGGACGGAGTTCTGTACCCCACGCATGGAGCTGCTGGTGAAGCTCATCCATGACGACAACGTGGAAAAGTTGCCAGATCCCAAAGACGCAGTTGAGGCGCTGGGGGAGCGCGTTTCGCGCATGGCCGACAAGGATGTCGTTGCGATGTTGGGTGAGGGCGCTGGCATCCCCCGAATTGGTTCAAAAGTGGCAAGACGCTATGTAGGCGGCCAACCGCCATCTAAAGTCTCTAGTGTCGATGAACAAGAAAGACAATTCCTTCTGCAGGTGAGCACAGTGCCATGTGTGTCGCTGCGGCCGCCCTTTGGGCCTTGAGCATATGGCTGACGTCTGTTGTGAGTCGGGTTCAAGTTGACAATATTGTAACCTCCCCCTTTGTGCGGCGGGAGACATGTTAGTTCTGCACTGATGCCCCAGTATGCTTTTATCTACCACCTCGTCTCCCTACCAACTCCAACAACCTGGCCAGTTGCCACCATGGCATGTGGCTCTGGTGCCTGTTGTGCTGCTATTGCCTCGATCTCTTGCTGTCCTGTGCCTTCATTATCCGTGCGAGCTCCGGTAATGGACAAATAGCAGTGCTCAGGTTCACTGAAGTTCGCGTGTATAGTTTATGGTTGCGCGTTCTGGCGGCAACGCTGTGGGCATCGAGAGCTCGATGCAACACTAACGCAGTCAACCCCACAAACAGAACGATTTCCAACACTCCATTGCAGTGCTTCAAGCAGGAACGTACGGCATGTTGTGGGCTGGCTGTGGGAATTGCGAACAGCAAGTGTTGACAAGGCAAGCTGGCGATCAACTTTCTCGCACGGTCCTATTGCACCCAGCCACGATGCCAAGGCATCCCAAAAACCTACCTGCACTTCCACACATATCTTGAAGTTGTGCCCTCCTGTTCGCTGTCCCGAGTTTGGTTTCTGGGCAGTCCCTCCATTTCTTGACGCTCAGAGCACGCACGCATTACGCATGTGATGAACAGAACCTGAGGTCGGCTGCACTGCAGGTGCGCCAATGGTGCAGGGCCGACACCAAGGCCGCTGACAGAGAGGCCCTCAGGAGGGCCATAACCAAGCACTCGGAAGGCCTCATGGAGCTGGATTTTAGACGAGTCCAAACTGACCATGGCCGAAATGGAGGTCACGCATCTCCGTCGCATACGCAATGGGCTAGGCCCTCGCAGCTAACGTCCCAGGTGGCACAATCCCGAAGAAGTGTTCCAGGTGGTCCACCGCAGTCTGCAGCTGCAGCATCGGGCCCAGGGGCCCGTTCCACGGACGCTGGGCGCACTTCTGGGCAAACTGCTGCAGGACAGGCAGGTAGCCCTTGGGAACAGGAGGATGTGGGAGACGTCCTGGAGGTAGTGGTGCCCAGGGGCCGCGTGGTGGACGTCAGCGGCCGGGTCTGGGGCGGACCGCAGGATTTGGAGCCCCTCGTTCCCTTCGGTGTCCATCTGACGGAGTTTATGAGGGACAAGACAGAGGCGGCGTGCCTGCAAGACCTGGAGGCTGAATGGCTGAGGGACGATGGCCTTGCCTTGGGCGACGCTCGGGGCACAGGTGGGCATTGCGCAGGGCACGCGCGGTGCAGTGAGTTCCCTTGTTTGCTTGGGCCTCATGTCTTTCCACTCAGCGCTGTGCTCATGGATCCCGTGTACCTGGCACATTGTCTGATGGACAGACTGCCATCAGGAACCGGTGCCAAACGGAGGGGCTGGCAGCGGCGTCCTTGCACCAAAACGGCACTGTGCTGAAAGTGTTGTGCCCAATGCGATGGTACTGGGCACCAACAGAAGCCAGGTGTAGGATTTTTGTGCACGAGGCCGTGGCTGCTCGCCAATGCCTTGAGCGACCATTGTACAGTTCCTCGCATTGCCCACAGTAAGTCGTTTGTGTGAGTGCGCCAGGCGAAGCAACCGCCCCAGCTGATCGGCGAGTCCTCTGTCAGAGTGGAGAAAAAAGGCACAGAGATCGAGAAGAGGGAGAGCTAGAGCAAGAGAATGGGCAAGCCGATGGGAAGAAAATGCACAAAAAGAAACACAAGGACAAGAACAAAAAGCACAAACACAAAACCAATGCATCTTGTCTCGGGGGATTTTAATGGCTCGTTGTGTAAGTTGTGGGTTTTTGCGTGCGGGTTGTATGGTATGTTGTTAAATGCCAACCTCACAAGTCCTCAAGATCTCTGCGGTGTTGTCTACCGTTTAGTCCCTCAGAGTTTTTTGGATCGCAGCATTTATGTCGGCTATACTCCGCACCAGTTCCAACTCTGGATCCATGGTGCGCCGCACTGCTACTGGAGAAAACCATGGTGGCATGATGGTGGCCAAAGCCAACATTCCAGAAAATTCATGCCTGCTTGGCATGCCTCTTCCCCTACAAGTCTCACATTAGGACACTTTTTTCCCCAGGGAATTCGTCGATTTTGTGTACGCGTTGCCCACGACCCAATGCAAGACGAGCACATCATTTCGTTTCATGTTGGCCCCTGACGGCATCTGACTGGCGCAGTGCTGGTGAAACTGAATGCACGTGGCATTGTGGGCAATGACATTGTGCAAAAGATACCATCCTTCTTCTTTTGTTGCGGCTTCCTCTGTTTTGCACTCTCTGTCCCTTGTGGGTGCCACATACGGGCAGATCCCAAATTTCCCCCAGCCGCATTCTGGGCCGTGCACAGTTCCAACTGGCAGGCGCCCTTGGTCAAACATCGTTGCAACGCACAGCACGGCTCCATGCGCCCCTTGCTTCGCACAGATGTCTGATGTGGTGGCCTTTCATTTGCAATGAATCACCACAAGACACGAAGGTCATGAAGTTCATGAAGCGCTTTTTCATGTACACCCTTCTCCATCATCACGAATTATCGCCGGACAGGTGCACCATTTGTGGCTCGCATGACGCCTGCACGACGCTCAAATCTGGTAACGAAGGTCCTGATGAAGGTCGTGTATGACTAGGGTATATACCCTCATGTCTTGTAATACTGGGCACCGGACAAGGCTCCCGCTTCGCCGTACAGGTACGTCTCTGCATGGTATATGTACGCTTATCGGTACGGCTCCTCCCAACCGTACCTCCCCTCTGCGATAATGCAAATATTTCTGGCTGGCCCGCCCCCACCCCCAGCGCTCGCTCCTCTCCCCACTCGAGACAAAGCGCTCGCGTGCGCGCGGGCCGCCCCACGCCCCGGCTCCCGCCCGGTCCCAGAGAGCTTCCCTCGCGGTCCATGTCCGGTGGCCGCGCGTGCGTGACGCCCGATCGAGCGCAGCGAAGCGATTGCCGGGCACCGCACCAAAATGGGTACGGCTCAAATCACCGGCCCCGCTCAGAATTTCACCCCTACGCGTTCGATCGGCGGAATGCGAATCTGCCCGCACGGCGCGGCGGCTGCGCAACCGCGGTCTCTGTGTCTGAAAAGCGCACACGCGCCCGGGTTCGCCCGTGGCTCGTCGATGGCCATTCGCCCCACCCGTGGCCAATTTCCGCCCCGCGACAATTTTGTCGCGATCGGCGTGCTCCCAAGTCTGCTCAGGCGGGCGCCCACCGGGGGGTGTCTCGATCATCGCATCCCGATCCCATGCTTTCGGCCATCTGTCGACCATTTTGTTTGGGTGGTTTCCTGGAAGGTCGGCGATCCCCGAGATTCGACGCATGGCTCGCGCAGCGCTACCCGCTGATCCGACAGGAAGTGACTTCCGCCGGCGGCGTGGCGGCCGCGGACAACCTCTGCGTCGACGTCACGGACGTGGCGCGCCTGCTGAACGCCAGGCCCGCCGTCCCACCGGGCCACCTCGGCGTGGTCCTCGGCGTCCTGGCCTACGTGGACTTCTTGGTCGGCATGGTCAAGCCCCGCAGGACGCTGTTCCTGGCCCTTGACGGTGAGCGCCCCTTGCCGGTGTGGCTCTGCGGGGAGGGGACATTTTGTCGCGGGGGGGGGCCATGGGGGCGCGCGGGAGGGCCGACATGGCGAAATCTCGCGTCCCAGAGCCGCGTGGACGGTGCTCGGCGCCCGCCCTGCATTATTCTCGAAGTTCGCTTGCGGGCGCAAGCGGACAACGGTCATGGCAGTGGAACGTGCACCACTTTGTTCAAGGTCGATGTGAAGGAATGTCTCCCTTCCTGAATCGGAAGTAAGCTCGGGCCGTTTTGGGGATCGGACACAAATTCGCAGAGCAGAGCTTAGCAAAGTTTCACATCCGGTGGCGGCCCACATCCAGAAGAAGGGCATTGACTGAAGCAATGGATTGTTGGCTGTCTTTCCCTGAAGCATCATGTCCCACTCAGCTACCCCTTTGGGCGTCAAGTCCAAAAGAGTCCAAAATTGCCACCTATGATTGCCAAAGGTTTTGTTTTACATGGAAACCAATTGTGCTCCGGTAACCATTTACTGCCAGGAGCGTTTTGACCAAACCAAGCGCAATTTGCTGCATGTTTCATGCTGCTGCTGTGCTAAGATTGCAACACTGCAGGAGATTGCCACCATTTTTCAGCAAATAGCAGCAGGCAACAATTTTCTATCCTGGGGTGTTGCCCATACATGCTGTGAATTTTTTCAAATCTTGTTTATGCATTTGTTGCAGGGGTTGTTCCTGATGCCCTCCTCCACAATGAACGCTGCAAGCGCTTTTCAAACTTAAGTGCCTCGGGGCAAGAGGTGGGTAGTTCATGCATATTGTGGAACAGGGATCCATGCTCATGCCAGCCAACTCTTATGCTGTACACTTTGCCACATGCTGCCGCAAGTTCTGTTAGTTCCACAGGGAAAACACAGCATCAGTAGATATGGGGAGGCATTTGCAAGCACCATGTGGCCAGCGTCTCATGTTGCATCACATGTTGTTGCCCCCAGGTGCGTATCCACATTATACACAATTGCCGAGACATGATGCAGCACTCCCCTTTCCCCATTGGTAGTGAGTATTTTCAGTGCTTCACCACATTTGAAGTTGCAATTGTTGGATGCAGGCATCAGCCCCAGCTTTCGTTTGTTGCCAATCCACACCAAACAGCCATGGCACTGCAGGTGTACCACACATGAAGGGCAATAATTATCAGCGCATAAGAAGGAACAAGAATGCTGACAGGAGGTCCATCAATTACGACATCATCGCTGAACACCCGCCAGAGTGGTCCCTGTGCTGTTAATGTACCCAAATTTACCCATGCCATGCCTGTGTCACCTTTGCTTATTCCTGAAACGCTCCTGTCAATGGCTGATGATGACATTGTGCTGTGGCTGTAGAGAAGGCTAAACTTCGATATGAACTCCATAACTACTGGAACAAAGTTCATGCATGCACTGGACAAACATATCTCTTTCTTCATGCGGTGGAAGATGTCTGAAGATCCAAATTGGCAGGTGCCTGTAGTTGTGTTTTCAGGTATGCCATTGGGAATCACACATGCTGCACAGCAAACGAACTATAATTTGCTGTGCATTGCTGCACGTGGCATTGATAACATGAGGGTGGCCTGTACAAGGCTTGAGGATTTGCCAGCTGTGTCATCCAGAGATTCTTTGAGCAGATTCGAAAATCTTGTTCTCTGCTTGAAATATATCAGAGCATGAACAGGCCCTCCCCCTTTTTGTGGACGTGTTTGCTCACATTGTATGTGCAGTTTAGCCAAAAAAAATTGAGCAGCAAAATTCAGCACTTGACACGTGCATGGACAGATGGACCTGATTGTTTGCTTTCATTGATGGGCTCAACACTCGTTTGTGCTTGGCTGCAGGGTCAAGGGTTGTGGGTGATGCGAAAATGAAGATATTGCAGCACATCAGGGAGCAGAAAGCAGTGCCAGCCTTTGGCATGCTGAGGCACTGTGTGTACTGCATGGCACCTGAAATAAGCCTGCTGGCTCTGGCCACGCACGAGCCCAACTTCTACATTCTTTCAGAAAGGGACTTGGTGGATGGCCGAGGCACCCAGAGCACAGCGCCAAGGCCTAGCGACTTCGTCATTTTGCATCTTGGGTAAGGCAGCCTTCTGCGGGGGTTGCCTCCTGTGAGTACCAAGCATCGCTGTCAAGAATGATCCGTCCAGAATGGCATTTCTCACAGCTCAACTGGGATTTTCTGCAATTCTGTTTTGCCACATTCAACACTTCATGACCAAACAGGTGGAATGTAGCCTGCGCTGAGCTCCTTCCCTTACATGCTAAGAGCTGGAGTGCTCCTGGTATATCTTGAAGTGCATTGTGATAGTGACAATATGAATGTATGGCATAGCAATACCATGGCATATGTAACAAATGGCATATCTATTTCCACTGTCCACGATAGCATGTGTTCCCCAATGTTGGTTCTTCAGCTGGGAATGAGGGAAGTGCTGTCGTTTTCGGTTGCATTTGTGACGAATTCCACAAGTATCCCCTTCAACCTTCTGCTGAGAACTCAGAACTTCATCCAAGCTGGCGAATCTTTATTTTGGGTTGTTGCAAGCAGTAATGTTTTGAATACAGGAAATTGGAACAGTCGACGTTTCGTGCTCTTCTTGAGCAGCACATTTATGGCCTTGTGAGTGTATGAAATAGAAGGCGACCTATCACTTGATCAAGGAGATTAGTATCACCCCTGTAAATCCGGCCCTTCCCAGCAGAGACCTTATGTTTCCTGATCGACTGAAGGCCATGATCTGTTGCTTGCTTCCAGGATCCTTCGTGACTACTGGGATCTTGAGTACTCCACCATCCAGCCTGATTTTCAAGTGGACATTGAGAGAGTGATAGACGACTTTGTCTTCTTGTGCCTGTTGTTTGGCAATGATGCCCTGCCAGGTGTGCCATGCAAGCAAACGGGTTGTGCGTGCACATGCATGGGTGCATGCACATACTGCACCCCACAATGCATCCGGGTCTAGGTGGGCAATGGCCTGCACTCAAAGTGCCAATGCTGTGCATTTGGATAATAGGTGCCTAACGACGCTAAAGTTGCTAAAGTTGGTGCTTGACCAACGTTATGTCCGTTATTTAACCCATCAGAAAATTTTACTGTTATGCTTTTGCTCTGCATTTTTGTTTTCAAAGCATTATTTTATTTTGTATGTTGCTCCGCAAAAAAAGGCCGAGCGTCACGTTGCTATGCAGAAGGGTTAACAAAGTACATTATCCTACCAGATTGTTGAATTTTTTAAATAAACTGCTATTATCCTAGAAGAAATGGGAGACAGTACATACTTAGAAGTAGTACTATTGAATCCAGCACCGCATCGAATCAACAGGACTTTGAAATACGTATGAAGTACGATGAAGAAAGTGTACCAATTGGGGCACAGCTGACAGCCAGCAACATAACAGAATGTGCAATCCAAGCAAGGAGTTCAACCTCCCAGATGCTCCATTAGTATATATTTTAGAATTCTATTCTCATATAAAGTCTTGATCGGTGGTCAACATAGGAACCGATCGGCATGGAGAGCCAGTTGTGTAGTGTGGAGTATTGGGACTGTGGCTGTCAAATAGTTGAAAGTGCCCGCATGCCAAGCATTTGTGCAATTAGCCAATGCTGAGTTGTGCATCATCTGATAACAGACATCACTTGAGCTGTTTCTGAGTTTCAGGTGTCCCAACACTGGATGTCCTGGAAGGTGGCCTCCAGCAGCTATTGACTGTATACAAGCATGTGCTACGGTCCAGCAAGAATTACATAATTCAAGGAGGTCAGCTTCAGAATAAGCAATTAGAAGGAGTTTTGAGGGCGATGTCCGAGTTAGACCCAGAAAGGATCCAGAGCCGGTATGCGGTGAGTTTTCAAAAAATGTCTGTTAAAAAAGCTGGGTTCTGTGCAGCGTCGGAATCGTATGTCCTCATGGGTTGCAGTTCTGCAATGTATGACAGGATGCTGCCCTTTCTCCTGTTGGATGATGTTGGCCAACATTTGCAAACATATGTGTGGGGCACCATGAAAGTTTTTGGTCAGTTGTGGATGCGGACTGGGGAGTTGGCACATGTTCAGCGGGATTCACTGTGCATCAAAAGATTGGCTTGATGGCAATGCCAGTCTCTGTTGCACCAGCCAACACCCTTGAAACTTGGCCACTTTAAGGGTTCGAAGCCATCAATATTGTGCCCAGCTGTGGAGTTCTTAGGATTAGTTTATAAGCATGAAGTAAAGAAATCTTTTTCCAAATTAGGCTCTGCCAAAAGTGCAGTTCCACCAAACACAGTATTTGCTCCCTTCCAACCATGTTTTGGTCCCTTATACATATTGAACCCAAGCTAAATTGGCCTCATCATGGAGAGTCATACAGAAATCCTTTGGGCCCTGTGTGATAAATTCATTTACGACAGAGCCTATCGTCTCCTGCGACAGAAATGGCATTGCAAGCACGAAGTTTAGATTGGTCAGTTTGCGCGTTAAAGCCAAAAGTCAGTGGATGTGCTTGTATGGGTGTCCACTAGCATGGCCTTTCGTGGTTCTGTCTGGTGGTCGATGTGATGTGCTCAATTTCGTTGTCATCATTATGTTCAGTGATTTATGAGTTGGAGCATTCTTGAGCTGATGTTGCTCGTTTCTGGTCATCTGAATCATCTGCAGTATCTAGTGTGTTGCGGGTTGTGGGATGGAGGTTTCGACAGCTAGCATTGCTGCTCTTTGTCCACAGGCTTGGCAGTTTGGTGTGGAGCAGAGCAGGGCCGCACCTGGAGGGCAAAGCCGCCCGCTAGATCCAAAGGTTGCAAGAAGGCTTGCAGATTTACCAATGGAAAATTGGTACACTTGCTGGAAGGTGGGGCCTTGCTGTGATTATTCCTTGCCTTGCTTTACTGTGTTATGGCATTGTTTATGTGCGCGATGTCGATGATACACGAGATAGCACTGCCTTCATTCTGTGTCAACAGTTGACCTGATGCTGGACACTCCAAGTCGTCTGTTTGGCAAATGGACAATGGTATATGTACCTGTGGCACATGTACTCAGAGCTGATCTGTCACCAGAGCTTGACAGCTATTGGACTACCTTTTCATTGTGTTTGGCAGTGCTGTGTGAACAGGATTCATACTACAGCGAGAAGCTAGGTATCAAGCGGGGCAACTATGAGGCACGAACTCGTGTCGTCCAAGACTATATTGAGGGTCTGCACTGGCTGTGGCACTACTACACCGTGAGCACAAAGTCGTGGTGCTGGAGCTATCCTCACAACTATGCCCCGCCCCTCACAGACATTGTGGTTCTCGATGGCCTGCAGCCACGCCCTTGTGAGTAGATCACGGTGCACAGGTGGTGCTTTGTCTGGAGCTGCGAGGGCCCGTTTCTTGTGGATGCCAAACGCGCAAGTTTCTGGGTGATGGTTGGCAACCGCTAACATCATGCATGTGGCTTACCAACAGTATGGAAGTAACTGCATAGAATCCTCAAGTTCCATGAACTGTTTAAGACTAAGCAGTGGTTTTATTGGCCTCTATATTGTAAAGAGGAAAAGGCTGAGGTGGAAACCACTGCCCTTCATTGCCATCAAGGTTTTGACCGTTATATTCACTTTTGACAAAATACAGGAGGCAACTCATGTGCACACACTGACACTTACTCTCTCTGTTTTCCAGTTCTGTTGCACTGCCATTTGTACGTTCTCTGGATAAACACTGTTCTCGTTGCTAGGAGACCCACTACACGCCGAAGTAAGCTTGCTGCTCAAAAGGGCTTGCAGGCATTGAAATACATGGTCTGCAGCAACTCAGCAAACATGGAAGCGTTATATCTCCTGTCACGTGCCACCCCCCATACAAAGTTGTTGCTTCAGTGCATCATTCTTGCTTCAAATTCACTCCTGCTGTCAGTGGCTCCTATAGCAACAAAAAACGAAGAAATGTTGCAGCGTATTCTTGGCAGGAGGGGTGCTTAAATGTGCTACAACTTTCCAGGCTGTACATCCCAACACACGCATCCACACACATTTTGGTAGGCCATCCTTGGCTCAGTTGACCAGGAGTTTTCGACCTCCATTGTTACAGAATGGACTTGTTTGGCCCCTTTCCCACATGCTGAATGGGCTGCCAAGAGGCTTGCTGCATGGCCTGAGGTAGTTTCGTTGCTTCAGCGAGTGTGAATGTACAGAAGCTCTAAGTACACTATGTTGAAGTGCTATGGTGCTGTGCGTGGTTCATACAACAGCTCGACATGTGTAAACTTCATTTGTTTGGCAATGGGCACGTCATTTCTGTCCGCTGCAGAAGTAACGCTCCTTCTACACTGCTGCAGTGTCCTTTGCTATGGGCCAGCCGCTTACAAACCTGGAGTATTTGCTCTGTGTGCTGCCAAAGCTCTCTGCACAACTGCTTCCAGAGTGCTTCCAGGTATGGCACAAGGTACATCCGATGTCCCTTACACATGTTATGTTGATGCGCCTTGCCACCAAGCATGCTGTTGCCCGGCAAGACTTGTGTGTTCAATCTTTATGGGTTCCTGGATTGAACTGATGTGTATAACATTTCGTTTGAGGCAACATAGTGTCAAGACGCGCTTTTAAAAGGGACGCTATGCCACAGATTGCTTTCCCAGACCTCGGTCTTATTTCTGTTGCAGATGGAACAAAATGCTATAGCGCCATTTGTGTGCAAACCTGCCTGTTGCAATGTTTCGGTGAGTTGACAGTATAAGTTCGCTTGATTGCATTCACTGTGATACAGTTGCAAATGCTACAGTAGTTGCAGGGCACTGCCCTGGTCCCGTCCAGCTGATGAAGGACCTGTTCACATCTGTATCGTTTGTTCTGGAACGTTTGCTCGTTTCCCCATGTGCCTCATGGGCGAAATCCAGGCGACTGAGAGCAGCAATCCTCTGGTTTGCTTCCATCAAGAGTGAACATCTATTCATCACGAAGGCTGGCTGCCTGAAGTATAGAACGCAAGCTGCAGCGGTCCCATACAGGAATGTCAGTGAAGAAAGCAAACAGTGCATACATAGTGTAGCACAGTGTCAGCCACTGAAGAAAGCAAACAAAGAAAAACCTCGAGTGCACAGGACTGCGAAGTCCCCACAATGAACATCCCCCAAAATGAAGTGTTCTTCTTAACAATCTGACACGTTTCATGTGAGCACCTGCCACTTGTGTGGCTTGGCAATGATGATGTATTTGCTGCAAGCATAATGAGCAAAGATGCTGATCTTTCCAGGTTTTGGTGACCAACGATGACTCCCCTGTGGCCGCCCTGTATCCCGGAGAGTATGCAGTGGACACTGAAGGCGCTTGGTGTGAGGACGACCATGTGGTGCTGCTCCCCCACTTCGACGTGGACATGCTTGTGGATCACTTCAGGATGGCAGACCTTGAGCTGCTGGATGTGGGAGGAGGAGAGGCCATCATCGAGAAGGACACCCCAGGCGAAATACTGATTTTGAAATTTGTGGAAGGTGGGAGAGCGCACCTTGGTCACAGGAAAGACAATGGACCCTTGAGGGTGAGGGGGAGAGAGGCAGAGTAGAAGTGTGAGGCTTGATGGGGCAGGGGTTTCTGACCACTGCATGGTGACGGGTATTTTGCTGTGCAGGGAATGTGGAGATCAAGTGCAAGGCTGTGTGACATGCGTAGAGGGCCCGGAGGGCCAAAACCTAGTAGTGGGCTGTTTGAACATCTATACACTGGTTCCTGGTTTGAAACACAGCTCAAGCTTGCAAGCGCATTCTGACATAGACCCATCCCCCTTTCTTGCTTGCTGTTTGGTCTCATCAGCGATTGATGTGCAAAAACACAGAGCATCGCCCTTGTGCTTGTCATGGGGATTGGAGACCCAAACATCCACCAAGTCAGTGCAAAGCCAAGTTAGTCTCATCAAGCCACTGAAGAAACGAAGTGGAAGACATCCTCACTGTGGTCAGCCTTGTGGTGTGTGAAGTGCTGACTGCATTGAAAGAGGTGTCCTGATGCTGCTTTTTCTGGTGCCGTGCAGGGATGAAGGATATGGCCTTCTGCAAATCAACTCTGCCCAGCCACTTCTCTGATGTGGTAGAACCGAACAGCCTCGCCTTTCTGCGCTGCCCTTCACAACACTCCAGTGCGGGTGGATTTGAGCATGCAGGCTCTTTGGGCTGCATGCCCCACCTACAGGCACGGGAAGGCAGCCCTTCACTGAGGGAACCTTTCAAGGTGAACAGGGGACCAGCCCAACATCAACTTGAAGTGTGCTAGTGCAATAGCTACTCTAAACCCACACATTATTGATTGCAAATGTTCCATCCCTTGTGTACAGAGCTGATAAGCTGAATCTCTGAAGGAATTTCTGGATGAAAAAGGGAGAATCAAATCGGACTTCAAAGAGACGCGAATCCAAACGTGAATATTGACATGACCATGGCCAATACGGTCATGCTAGTGGGCATCCCATGCAGAACTTTCGTCCACCACAGCGGTATCTCTGAATTGAAACGTGTGGCTGTATGCAAGGATTTGGTGTTTGATGACGATCCCTGAAGCTCAGACTTGTGTGAAGTAATGGAGCAGTTGTGGCTCCTTACCTTTCATTTTTGCCAGCTATTTTCAATGCTGCTGGGCTCAGTTGCATGACATTAACATGAAACATTGTCCACGCCAAGGCTTTTCAGTAATATGACCATGCGTGATGCAGGCATGCAGCACAGTCTTGCTCAATGCCTTGTTCGTGCTCTTGCAGTTTAATGGAAGGCTTGAGTGGACAGCTGGCGGAGGGCAGGAGACCTTTGTTGTCAGAATCGACAATGAGGACTCTGCCATCAATTTCCAGCACCCCCGACCTGCCGCGGGATCAGTGAGTTGCCGCAGCATTTGGTTATTGTGTGAACAGTCTGGATAAGAATTCGAACATACTTCTGTTATGCATGTGGTTCAAGTAATAACCAAAGAAACACAGTTCATGGCATGGCTGCACACACTGCTGATGCTAAGGCAGTCAAGCATGCACTGCCCAGCCGGCACAATGGAACTCTTCGTCTGTGGGTTGTGGGCTATGAATTTTGGGAAGATGTAGCCATTGCACTGTCGAAGCTATTTGTAAATGGTGCACACTCAGGATTGCTTGGTGATGTGTGTGAATCTGCTGGTGTGTGGCAGTTTTATTTGCCAACAGTTGCAGTAGAACTGCTGCGAGGGATGTGCAGGCAAGGGCCAGTTTGTAGCATAGAATTCAGAGAGTGTGCATCATCTGCGGACCATGTATTTTCATGTCTGTGCCTTTGACTGTTTGACAGAGCGGATTATAGCTCTGAATATGTTCATATTGGGTGATTCTATGCTGGGGTGATCCATGTTGTGCAACACCTGGTAAACTGATGCTACAAGTGCGGCTCATCAACAGGTATTCAGGCTGCTGAAGGAACAGGCAGTGTTTGTTGGTTGGCCCTTCCCCCAAAAGGCACATGTGCAGGCGGTTTCAGATGAGTGGCAGTATGTGTCTCCCTCAAACCCGATGTATCAGACAGACGATAAACAGCACAAACATGATGCCAGTCGGGTGGAGATGGCGTACCTCCAACAGAGAGGGATCCGCACAGGCCCCTGCGATCTGTTGCTCCATTTGCAGCTTGATGGATCAGAGCAGACAGAGATTCATCCAGCACAGGTATGCCCTCAACGTCGCAGCCCTGCATGTCTCAGAGTTATTTCGCCCTTCTCAGTGTACGTTCCCTTGCAAATTTAGTTTTATTATTTCACGATTCCAGCATTTCGCAACCCCTTCAAGAATGGATAGTCTCTGTTGTGTTTGTTGCATCTGTGCTCTGTGTTTCTCCAATGTTTTCATCATGGGCGCAGATATTTGGTTGCTTCACACACCCAGGCAAAGGAATGACTCTGTTGGTGTAAATGCCAAGTTGGTGGTCCCTTTTGTTGCAATTTCTTTCAAGACGCAACGAAGAGGGGAGCATACCAGCGATTGTCTGAAGTAGGAACAGCCACGACTACACTGCTGATTATCCCAGGGACAATGGTTTTGCAAGATATGCAGGGCAGCAATGCTCCTCTGATACTGTGAAGAGCAAAATTGTTGACAACTGCCTACTCCAAATGTTGCAGCTCTGCATTGAGATGCATCCTCAACTTCAGTATGTCCTGCTCGAGCCTATGGTTGGCATTGTTCTCAGGCATCCCATGGCTGAAGTGCATTTTTAGTCCCTTTGGATTGTTGTGGCATTGCACTGAGTGCCCTTGCATCTTTCATGGACGCTGATCTTATTCAAGCTGTACATATGATTCCTTGTGGAAACTTGTGGGTGTACAGTGCCTGCTTGTGTAGCAATTGCTTTGTTGATCTTTGCATGTGCAGATGGCGATGATCCAACTACAAAGTGGTTGCTGGCAGTCTGTTCTGGAGTTCTGCGCGCCACAGATTGACAGTGGTGTGGTAAAAACTGTCGTTATGGAAAAGGTTGAGGTTTCTGGCGGCATGGCACAGAACTGCCCTCAGCTGGAAAATGCACAGGAAGATCTTTTGAGGAGAGCACTAAATTCAAGAATTGGTGTGAAAGACTCAAACCTGAAAGGCGATCCGATGGACAAAGACAAACAGTCCCACCCCGTCAGTCCGGCTCCAGAGAGCTTCGATTCTGGAGCATCACGAAATTCACTGCACCCACACAGTCCTGGAGCAAGGGTATTGGAACCAGGTTCCAAGGGATGTGACTTTTCACATTTGACTGAGCCTGTGAGACTTGCAGCATTCAACAACGATGCAGGAATGGATCGGGTCCCTGCAGAATCTGAGGGCAGCCTTGGTGCTGGGCCATGTCCGATGGACAGCACTGGTGGTGAAGCTGTGTGCAGCCAGCCACCTTGGGCAGCTGGGTCAAATACAGGCAGTCTGCTGAGCGATGACGCACTGCCAGGCAGGTGTTCGGATGATAATGTTGCCAAGGGCCCCGACCACTCTGATGCTTGTAATTACAAGTCAGCAAGTCACTTGGGCAGCAGCGATGGACAGATGCAAGATTCCAGGGGTGATGGTGAGAATGGGACAAACAGTGCCACTGTACCTGAACAGGCTGGCTGCAGTTTGGTAGGGGGTGGTGTCGTCAACAGCCAGGGTGACAGCACAAGCATGCAACCCAGTGCTGTGGAGGGAGGCAGCCAGGTCAGCGGTGGACACTTGTCCGAAGACAAAGCTGTGCTTGCCTACTCTAAGGACACTGCAGATAAGGAAGCCAATGGATTCCCAAAAGTCTCTGCGGCCTGCAGTGTGGACGCATTGGTGCCAGCAGAGGCCCAGGCTGGGGTAGCCCTCGATTTTGCCCAGTCTCAGCAGGACGAAGGGGAATTTTCCAGAGGCGTGCATTCAGGATGTGGTGATGACAGGGCGTGGGAGACTGCGTCTGCGGACACCGGTTTTGTGGACGCTGTATCTCAGGTGTCTGGGGATGGCTCAAGGGCGGGTGAGAGGGAGGGGCCTGCCATCGTGGAGGAAGCAGCTCATGGCATGAACAGCACCAGCTCTGGCACTGCAGGGACGGGTGGTGGCAATAGGCAACAGAAGTCTGCGGTGGTGAAGTTGTTGGAAGCATTGCCATATCCATTCATGAAGCCCTTTCTCTGGGGCTCAGCAGATGAGGGGGCGAGCGCTGGTTCGGCGAATCGCCTTGAAGCAAGGGGACCCATGGGACATGCAGACAGCTCCAAGGACGGCTTGGCCACTGCTGTTGAGGAACCTGAGTGTGCAGATTCTTCGTTGATGAGCCACTGTGATGTTGGGAGCAGCACAGACCCAGGTGATGATGCATTGGATCGCCATCACTCTGAGGAGGCTGCAGTCAATGGGGACAATGGTGAGGAGGCTCCCGAGTCTCGAAATGCATTCAGTGCAGATGGCAAGGACCGAAGCAGGGTTTCTGGACTGCCTGGTAGAGAAACACGATGTAAAGATAACAACCCTGATGGAGGCACATCAGAGGCAGAACACTGCGTTGGTGTGGACGAAGTCTATGGATCAACTAAAGATATTATTGAACCAACAGCTGCAAGTGAACAGACAGCAACCCCTGCAGTTGGGCACACTGTCCACGAGGTTGCTGGAACATCTCAGGTCCCAGGTATCAAAGGCAGTGAGCATGGGTCTCCCTCACCAAGGGATGCTTCGAACACTGAGGCGCGTAATAGTGATGTCGGTGCTGAAGACGAGCATGAGGCCTTGCGTGACTCAATGGCTGGTGATGCTCCTGGCGATGGCCAGTCCCTAGAGGATCCTGAGGGAGGATGGGGCGTGTGCAAAAGGTCTGAAGGGTCCATGCTGGGGGGGCCAGCAATTGGTGATACACCTGAGCATGCAGCAACCCATATCGGAGATGGTGTTTGTGCTTCAAGTGATGATGTGCCATGCAGCTCCCCCCAGGCGCCAGCTGGGGATCTGTTCAAAACAGCAGCAAGATGCACATCTGATTCTGATGAGCTTGGAGGCCCTTCTTCGTTGTCAGATATGCCAGTCTCAGAAAATGATGATTGCGGTGTTGGCCAGTCTGCAGGAGGGCATGATGACGATAATGGCCTTTGTGAAATGGCTAGGGCATCATCAAAGGAGAGGCCACATGTCAGTGATCGCAAAGAACCGGCCCTACATGAAGCAGTTGATGCGGCAAGCGGTTCTGAAGCACCGTCCCTTGTTGCTGAAGGTGGAGTTTGCTACAGCTCCTCCCAGACTCCAGTGTCCACTGGAGAAGTGCCTCAAGCACAAGGCATCAGCCGTGGCGCTGCTGTCGACCAGGTTTCCCATTCTTTGCTTGATGTGTCTGTCATGCAAGGAGATGCTTGCCTTGACGACCAGCCTGCAGGGCTTCCTGTGGAAGATAGCGGACCTTGTGAAGGCCCTGACACATCTGAGATGGAGAGGTCAGCAGCCAGTTCCCACGAGCACGACCCTGATGAAGCTGCTGATGTTGTGGGTGGTGCAGATGTGGATTACTTTGTGTCAATGGCAGGTGTGTGCTACCAATCACTTCAGGCGCCAACCAGCGCTGAAGAGGTGCTGGGCGCTCAAGATGGTGGCAACACCGCTGCTATTGGAATTGGAGCCTCTGCTTCTTTGCCGGACAGGTCGGCATCAGAAGATGGCAGATCTG